GTCAAACAAGGGGGATTGAGCCTATTTACACTTATATTATAGGTTAAAATAAGTTCTACTTTTCGTCGTAGCCCATCTTTTTACACTGGTACTGTACTTCATATACTGTTGTGTAGTTTAACACGGGGGCTTTCAAAGTCTCAAACTGTGGGCCTCCCTTCAAACAAAGCTTGGAAAAAGCGACCCCTTACCCCCCTGTCGGCTCTTTTGCAGCTTATTTGTTAACACTGTCTGCAAAAGGTACATTTGAATGGCAACTCAGGTAACAAACAATACTTAAGAGGGGAACCTGTACATGGTTTGAGTTCTTTTCTTGGTTTAAGTATTGCTCTGTGCAGCTGACATTAAAGGGGACCTATCATGCAAAATGCACTTTTTGATGTCTTTTATACATAAATATGTGTCCCCGGTGTGTCGGGGAACTCACGCAGCGTCAGGAAATAAAACCCTCTCTCTTTTCCTCCGTACCCAAATCTCTAAAAACGGGGCTACAACGGAGCTGATCCAGATTTGCGTCCGATATGACGTAATATCTGAAATGTGGACCCACGGCCCTATCAGAAAGTTGCTATCAGAAACAATGCCCGACTGTTTTGGACGTAATATGGTCGGTGCATGTTTACATTAGCATCGCTAACACTCAGAGCTAACCTGTACTGGAGAGCATGTGTGTGAAGAAGCAGGAAATAAAAAGGAACTCACCTTGTGGTATAACCGGCAAGAGAGAAAGCCTTTGAGCTCCATACTGTTTCAGAAACAATCCTTGATAATCCATGATATGGCGTTTCATCACGGCAGTATTTAGTTTAGACAGTAGCTGCCGGGTCCCGCATGAGCTCAGACCCCTCCTTTTTTATTTTTTATCAATTTTTTAAAGCATTATACCCAAAATCAGCACTTTTGAAACAGGAAGTGAAATAGAGGGATATGAGGCATGGCTAGAATGGGTGATCTGTTTGGTATTTTGAGCAAAACACTTCATAGACATGTTTTTTATATATTTGTATATATCTGAGACCATCCCTCATCAGTACACACTTTACTATCTTATTCTACTATCCACACATACACTTCTGGTATAATTGACACTTAATTTCCTGGATGCTAGTGGGATCATGATTATGTTGTTTACCCCATAACCACTCAACATTAAAGCTGTTTGACTGATAGCAGTGAATGACGCTATCCATGGTGCTGACCCTCCCACTAACTCACCAAAATGAACTTTCATGTAATCAGTAATTTAGCAATCTCTGTGGGTGGAACTGTCAGTGGTAATCGATTTTTAAAGGGGACATAGTCTGCTTATTTTCAGGTGTATATCAGTATGTAGTGTCTCTACTTTAAAGAGTCCTCTCCTACTGATGTTCAGGTGTATATCAGTATGTAGTGTCTCTACTTTAAAGAGTCCTCTCCTGCTGATGTTCAGGTGTATATCAGTATGTAGTGTCTCTACTTTAAAGAGTCCTCTCCTGCTAATGTTCAGGTGTATATCAGTATGTAGTGTCTCTACTTTAAAGAGTCCTCTCCTACTGATGTTCAGGTGTATATCAGTATGTAGTGTCTCTACTTTAAAGAGTCCTCTCCTGCTGATGTTCAGGTGTATATCAGTATGTAGTGTCTCTACTTTAAAGAGTCCTCTCCTGCTGATGTTCAGGTGTATATCAGTATGTAGTGTTTCTACTTTAAAGAGTCCTCTCCTGCTGATGTTCAGGTGTATATCAGTATGTAGTGTCTCTACTTTAAAGAGTCCTCTCCTGCTGATGTTCAGGTGTATATCAGTATGTAGTGTCTCTACTTTAAAGAGTCCTCTCCTGCTGATGTTCAGGTGTATATCAGTATGTAGTGTCTCTACTTTAAAGAGTCCTCTCCTGCTGACGTTCAGGTGTATATCAGTATGTAGTGTCTCTACTTTAAAGAGTCCTCTCCTGCTGACGTTCAGGTGTATATCAGTATGTAGTGTCTCTACTTTAAAGAGTCCTCTCCTGCTGACGTTCAGGTGTATATCAGTATGTAGTGTAGTTTGCCAGGTTCCTGTTCTTCTATAGAGAGATTTGTTTTCCTCTAAACCATGAAAGATGCTTTCATTTAAACTGATTGATGCCTTACATTACGACAAACTTGAGCTCTTATACCAACACGTATGACCTTTTGAACTTTACAAACACACGCATAAATGAACTCTGAACACTTCCTATGGCTTCCTCTGCAACCTTTAGGTAACCTTTTCATAATGGGTGCCTCTTGTTTTGAAAAACAGGCTCATCTGAGTATGAATGTGGAGGATTGTGCCTTAAGGCTGTTTTCCTACAGGATTTACATACATTACATTCAGTCTTTTCTCGCAGTAATCCCTGAGCAGGGGCATGTTGGCGGAGGTGAAACATGCTTCATGTGTTCACAGCAAATATGTGCATATGTGATTCTGTGCATGTTCAAATGCATTATGTATTAACAGGTTTCATCATCCAGTGTAGATTTGACGTTACTGCAATTTCCAATTTTATGTTTTTTGGGGGGTTTATTTTTCTCCTTTGCACGTTAGCATTTGAGTTTAATTTAAGAGTGCTTCTAAATAGGGAAATTGTGTGATAGCCTACCCTTCACTTAAAGTTAAGTGTTTACTAGACAGTAAAAAATAGATACAAAAGCAGGATATTCTTAAATTGGAATCAAGACATCAAGAATGAACAAAAAACGTTTCCTTTGGATGCTCAGAGAAGAGGGAGATTGTGTGCTACTATCCAAAGCCCTAAAACAGCTAGATATCATGCTAGTTCGTCTCCAGTTCTTCATCATTTCAGATTCAACAAGCCTTTAAGAACTCACATTTCAACTCTGCAAACTCTGCACTGAAGCCACGACTCGTCACAACAAAACACACACATCTCACGGCTTCTAAAGAAATGAAATCAAGAATCGTTTTAAGTTATCAAAGTATTCAATGGCATTTGTAAATGTAGGATGCTGTTGTCCAAAATAAAAAAAACACAAAGGTCATGCCAACAGCCTCAGATAGGTGCCATAATAATCTGAAGATCTCCAAACACTTGTTTCATCTCTCACGTCAGCAGATCATTCATATGGCACTGTGAGCATGAATCTAAACGTCTAATCCCTTCATTAGACAAAGACAGAGTGCATGCAAGTAACTCAGATGAAGTAGAACAATCCAAACACTGCTGTCTTTCCTTCCTCTCATATTCTCTCTCTCTTTCTGGCTGTCTGCCATGTGTTTCTGCTCCGCTAGGCGGCAGCATTGAGCCGCTTTCAGAGAACCAGTATAAGTCACTGCAATGAAGAGAAGGACAGAGGAAGACAGAGAGAAAGACCCGGAGAAACATCAAAAAGGGGCAGAAATCCCTCTGAGATTCCTTCCTTATTCTCTTAAAGAGGGATTAGGTGAAGAGGGATGAAGAAGAAGGAGAGAGGAAAGGGAGATACGGGGCTGAGGAGTGTGTGTGAGTGTGTGTGTGTGTGTGTGTGTGTGTGTGTGTGTGTGTGTGTGTGTGTTTAGTGTCAGGGTTTCCTTTCTGCCTCCCTAATATTACATAACAGCCGGTAATATCCCCGATCACAGTCAGAGGACCTAATTGAAGCCAGTCATTTTCTTTGGACTGGAGGTGGCAAAACATCCCCGACTTCCCTCCGATTGATCCGACTGTTCTCCAAAAGACTTAAGGATGGAGAAAAATGAGGCAAGGACAGGGACATGAAGTGAAGAGATGGAGTCGAACCCATGACTCTCAAGACACTTGCAGGTCACCATAGTTTGGTTTTTGGATTCAGGGGAACGGAGATGGAGGAGAGGAGGATGTGAGATGGGGAAACATCAACTAGGAATGTATACTTCCCAAGATACATTGCTCCAATAAACAGGCTGTTATTGAACTTAAATGATAGGATGTAAGGTAAAGGAGAGAAGCAAGAAAGAAATAAGACTGTTCTCTCTCTCTGTTGAAGTGCCGCTGAGCAAGACACTACTCCAGTGTGCATAAGACTCTAACATGAAGAGAATCATGTGGTTATCTGTCAATTGTAAAAAAAATGACTGTTTTTTTGTATCCGTTTCACAAAGTGAGACCAAAACCCCTCTAAAGACTGATTCAAGCCATTTGGCACAGACTCATTTTTGCATGTCAGTTTCGATCCACGGTTGATTTCCCATGATGCAACTGGAAAAGCACGGTAGAAAACACACAAAAAGTGAACTATAATCGACGAGTATCAACTCCAAAGACGCGCTAAACTTCGTGCGTAAAGACGCGTCTGAGATCCCGGGGAGAGTTTTGGCAGCGATCGTTTTTTTTTTCTCCACTGTAACTTTTTTTAATTCACTTTGATGCAATTTGTTTATGATTCTCTCTCATCCTGATGTTCATGAGTCGGCAGGTGATTGGCTGAGCAGCGCGCGCACGTCCTGCACGGGAGACAGAAGTCATGGAAGGAGCTGTTTCTCTCTCTTTATCTCTCTCTCTCCTCCCGTTATTCTTTATATTTAACTCGTTCTCTTTTACCGAGTACATCCCTCCCTCTCTCTCTCCCCTCTCTCTCTCCCTCTCTCTCTCTCTCTTTGGCGCGCTGCCAGCTCCAGCACGCTCCGAGCCTCCTCTCCTCTCGCGCCGCTTGCCGCTCACTTTACGCTCTCCCCCTTCTTCTGAGATGGGAGGGAGAACGAGTGGAGGAGGAGGAGAGAGGGGGGGTCCCTCCAGGAGCTGTAAGAGGTGGAGCGGAGGGGGGAGGGAAAGGGAGGGAAGTCTCTCTCCAGTGAGGTGGGGTGGGGTCGGAGGGGGGCGACGGGAGCCCTTGGCCGCCTATTCGCCTTCCAGTTGCCTCCGCACTATATAAACACTCATTGGTGCCTCTGGCTTGACGCACACACACTCTTTTACGCACGCACCCACACACACACACTGAGGGTGACTTGTATAGGCAGCCAGAGAGAGAGAGAGAGAGAGAGAGAGAGAGAGAGAGAGAGAGAGAGAGAGAGAGAGAGAGAGAGAGAGAGAGAGAGAGAGAGAGAGAGGGTCGCACTCTGAGAAACAGAAAGGTACACAGAGAAGAGAGGACAGAAAGTAAGAGAAGCAGCAGGAGGACGGTGAGCATCTCTCCACTCTCACGGATCTTAACACTTCACCTTCCTGCAGCAGAGAGAGATTACAGCTTCTGTGAACAGGCCTTTTTTCTACTTTTTGGAGGAGTTGAGAGAAACGCGAATCCTGGAAGAGTTGTCCTTCTTTCCCCCCCCCCCAAACCTTAAGTCTTTCCATCACTTCGAGAAGTTTCACAAAGTAAAGTGAGCTCCAGAGCTCGGCTTCACTTGTCTCCACGTGTGTCCTGACATAAACGTGTCACCTTGAGGTTTTTGCTTGCAGAAGTTTTAAGATTTTTCACATTTTAAAGTCACTGACCCACACACGAGACTAAACATGACATCAGGACAACCCCGAGCCGTGTGTGACCATTGTTCCAAATGCTTAAATCATTAAAACAAGTGAGTTTTAATGCTTTCATTTTTCCACTTTACACGCTAAGGTGTGACTCTGGCGCAGCTCACCTGTAGCATCTTCCATCTGTCCACTCTTTGATTTGCACTTTTTACGCACAGAAACGCCACTTTGAGACTATTTTAAGATAGAGACTCAATCTATCTGAGACAGAGAAGCGCTCTCCACAGAGTTCATTCATTCTGAGAACACTAACCGCGTCGGTTTTGGAGTGCGTAAAAGGATAATTTACGCAACAAAAAAAAATCTAACTTTCGAATCATCCCGGGATTTTCACATCTGGACATTTCTGTGGCGAAACTACGTTTAAAAAGAAACTTCAGCGCAACTTTGTCCAGCTTTTTGAAGGTCTTCCCGGCTCTCCATCACCATGCTGTTCGACACCTTCGACCTGGTCTCGGCTCTGGCCACGCTGGCCGCCTGCCTGGTGTCCATGGCTCTGCTGCTCGCCGTGTCCCAGCAGCTGTGGCAGCTCAGATGGACGGCGACGCGGGATAAAAACTGCAAGCTGCCCATGCCCAAAGGATCCATGGGCTTCCCTTTCATCGGAGAGACCTGCCACTGGCTCCTACAGGTAAGCGCGTGCTTGGGGTTTGGGAGAGGGTGCCACACGATGTCCGGGAGTTGGAAAAGTCCCGGAGTGAAGTCGGACTTTTATCGGAGTATAATGAAATCAGCGTTTTGAAACTTCTCTTTCTGATTCTTTGGGCAGTTAAGGACTTTGTTTTATTGCATGTTTCGGTTCATTCATCAGACTTTTCACTTGGTTTAGTGTGAGTGCGCTGCTTTAACGGGGCTCTGTGTGCAATAGCAAGTTACTGATGAGTTATTCTGCAGCGGAGAGGTGAGATCATCTTGAAATCGATAGATATGGTGGATACTTTTACGCACCAAATTTGCACTTTTCGCCAGATTTTTAAACATGCGTTACTTGCTACAGTTGGTGATGCTCACAAAGCAAATAACGACCAGATTTGTTGTTCATTTGTCTTCCTAATTGTACAACTTTCATCAACATCCCAGCGTGCATAGTGTTGAATCTTCTCCAACGGTCTTATTTTAGCGCAGGGGATATCTTTCTTCGTGTAAAATATTGATGTGTGGGGTCATTTAAAGTGGTTCATCCTCATCTGGCGCGCCTGTGATGGCTCCAGAGCGCGCGCAGCCGCCGGCAGACACACGACCATCAAAGACTCTCACTTCACTTTTGATTAGTTTACAGCCCTGCAATCTGTCTCACACTCAGCCTATCAGATCACTGTTTTCATTATCTCAGACGGGAGCGAGTGGGGTCAGCCAACTGTGGCGCGACTTTTCCTGCAGCTGGAGTCAGGCTGAGCGAGAAGTATCGATCATATCTGATGGGCTGATATGCGTAAAGTGGCGTCAGATATAGAGTGGAGTACACAGCATCGCTATTTCAAATAAAAATGGGATGTTTAAAATGCAAGAAATTACAAGAATGCGATGTTTTTGGCATAAGGAGGGGAAGGGAAAGAAAGTAGCTCTGTGCGTGAAAGGGTGAATGATGATTACCTCGCACTCCCTCTTTTCTTTTCCTCCTCCTCTTCTCTGTCAGCTCAGATCTTTTCTGGGCTCATAGTGGTTTTAAAAAAAAAGTTCCCAGCATGCTGCATGTTTCAGAAATCACTCCGAGATTCCTCCTCTTACGCGTTGATTGACAGATTGCAGAAAACCGAAAGTGCATGTGACTCTCTGGAGCTCTCAGGCAGGGATCATGTATTGGTGAGATGCTTCACTTTTTGCATCCAAATTTAAGAAAATAATCAGACATATGAAATCCCACAATGCTTAGCTCACAGCAGGACCAATGAGTGTGCTTCACCTGTGAGCTCAGAGGAAAGGAAAGAGAAATGTGCACTGTAAAAACGTTTTATTAGTGTATTACGTCAACAGATTATACATCATTGTATTAGGTAAGAGGCAGTCATATTACGTTGCATTCTTCTGCTTAATATTATAGTTGTCACTGTACCTAATGCAATGATGTGTCCTCTGATGCTATACTACACTACTTACAGTCAAAGTTTGGGCACAAATCAGATAGACAGAAACTCTATCGACAGAAAGACCTGGGGGGTTGGAGGAGAACAAATACAAAAAGTGGAGAGAGCAAGGGGTTGAAGGGGGGGGAGAAACCTCAAAAAGAAAAGCAAAAGGGGGGGGGGGGGGGGGGGGAGGAAAGCACGTTGGCCGTGTGCGGGGTTGAACTCGCGGTGCTCCTCTCCGTTACATCTGACACCGAGAGAGACGCGTTCCCGGAATGCAACCGAGGACCACGGCCAAGTTTATGGAGAGGGGGGGGGGGGGGGGGCATGTCAGTCAGATGGAGGAATGAAAGCCTGTGTGAATGACTATACTTATGAGGACCAAATGTCCCAACAAGAAGAGTGTTTAGGAGACATTACACGAAGAATAGAGAATAGTGGTGCATTTTGCTCTAAGATTTCCATTTTATTGTATAATGGTTGGCAGAGGGGGGAGAAGTACTCAGATGTTGTACTTGAGTAAAAGTAGAAGTACTCAGGTGTTGTACTTGAGTAAAAGTACTCAGATCTTGTACTTGAGTAAAAGTAGAAGTACTCAGGTGTTGTACTTGAGTAAAAGTAGAAGTACTCAGATCTTGTACTTGAGTAAAAGTAGAAGTACTCAGATCTTGTACTTGAGTAAAAGTAGAAGTACCAGAGTGTAGGAATACTCTGTTACAGTAAAAGTCCTGCATTCAAAATGTTCCTCAAGTAAAAGTAGAAAAGTATTATCATCAAAATATAGTGAAAGTAGCGACAGTAAAAGTAGTCATTGTGCAGATTGGTCCATTTCAGAATAATATATATGATATGTTTTATAATGATTGATCATGAAAGTGTTCTCAAAGCTGGTAAAGGTGCAGCTAGTTTGAATGACTTTGTATACTGCAGGGTAGCTTGTGAATTTACTCCAGGTGGAACTAAAGTCTGATTTAACACGTGATTATATTTCACATCATTCATCCACATCTGTAAAGTAACTAAAGGGATTAAATACATGTAGTGGAAGTAAAAGTTCACCATTTACCTCTGAATTGTAGTGGAGTATAGAAAATTGTACTTAAGGACAGTACTTGAGTAAATCTACTTAGTTACTTCACACCACTTATGGTTTTTAATATATATTATTGTGTTTGGTGTTTGTGTCGCGGAATTCTTTGTTGACCACTAACGTTACGATCGCTTTGATAATTAATACAATTTCTTCGTGCACATTGTAACCAGTTGATTATCGTATTTATTCATTAAATGACATCTCAGCAACTCAGTTTTTTGTTAGCGCGTCGGACAATTGTGCCTCCAGCTCCGACCTTTAGCCTCTCAGCGACGTTGCTTGTTTCCTGAAGCCGCTACACACGCTGAAAAAACTTCACCGTTGACTTTAACTAATACAGTTTTGTGAAATTTGTTGACATAATACATTTAATTAAAGTCAACATTGCAGCTTTTTTTCAGCGCAGAGCAAAATCCTGGCTGCGTGGGGATGAGGTCATGAGCAATGACGTGAATACAGTGAAGCAGTGTGTGAGAGAGAGGCTGTGGGAAAGAGAGAGAGATCTGATGAAACCTCTCTCGCCCAGATGCTGTTTTATGTCTCTGCTACTCGTCTGCTAACGGAGACGACATGTCAGACGGAGACGAGCCGTCTTTTTGGGCCAATCCAGTCCTCAGGATGTGCCAACAGCGTGCGATTAAGTGGAAGAAATGCAGAATTTAAGCTGCAGATGTTTGGGTTTTTTGTAGCTAAACGGTCTTGATTAAGAGTGTCGGAACAATAGCTGCACATTTGATTTATTTGATAAAGAGATACTAAGTTGTTGATAAACACTTTCATGATGAACAATAGGCTATATATCACAGTGAGGCTTGTTTTTGAGTCATAGGCTGTTGAAACAGATCCAGAGATGAATTAAAGAGGGAAAAACTTGCTAGCTTTTACGCTAACATTGCAAACATTGATCAAACAGTGGCTTGTTCCCACATTCAGGAGTTACGGAGCAACATTAGCATTCATTAGGAGTCTTGTTTGTCCCCACCTGACACATCTAAGCCCAATATTATGTCTCCTTTTAGCTCCGTTTTGGTCTCCACCAGTTCGCTAACTGTGTTTTTCAATTTGAAGCCAGGCAGGCAGTGTATTGTGGGATTTGTTTGCCGTAAATAGCTACCGTCTGCAGCCAAAAAACACATTGTAGGCATTGACACAAGCTACGGGCCGGACATGGGCGACTACTTTCATATTTGCGTTGTTTTCACATCGTCACTTGACAAAAAACTTGATTGATTGATTGATTTTTCCCGCTTTAATGAAAAAGAGAGGTGTTTCTTGGGTGTGTTTGCACTTAATAAAGGAATATGTAGTAGTTTATACACACTGTAGTAACATCAAACTTCTCTGGATGTGAACCAATAGCGAAAAACATCCTAAAAATACGTCTTCTTGCA